CTTATAATAGTGATTAAGGATACTAAGTATCCAATAGAAGAAATTATTTCTCTTATTCCTGTCTTAGAATTAAAACAATAAAACTTTTAATATTAGATCTCAAATATTAGCTTAGGGTAATTGAAGTAAGCCTTACTTATTAAATATATCATTTATTTTGTAAATACTATAATTGAGATAATAAAATTTAATTCCAATGCTTTCAATAATTTATTCTTCATGAGTCTAATATAGTAGATATATTTAGAGCCAAAGCATTTAGTGTTTATAAATTTTGTATAGTATTTTATAAATATGTAGAATTCAATCAGGAATTCAATTTAAGTAAATGAAACATAGATATTAACTAATCAATCAGCGTTTAATTGATATATTCAAAAAGTTTTCCAATACTTTCTATATATTGATCATTTATTTCAAATATGATTGAAATTATAAAGTATCTAAAATTTCCATACATTAACTAGGATTTCCAAATAATAAAAGAAAAAACTACTACTAGCTAATCCTATCACCATTCAATTACCCAAAGCTTAAAATTTATTGGCAATTTGTAATTAATTCTAGTTTAAGATTTTTGGAAGTTATAAATTGATAGATTAGAGAGTAGTCTTTACTTTTTTTTATATTAGTCTTCTAAATTAGCATTGATTTCTACAGCTAAATAAAATTGAGTTCAAATAGATTCCAAAATTTGAATTTAAAAAATATCAATAACATCAAGTAAAATAGTTTAATCAATTTCAATTACAGGAATTATAGTAATAATGTATATATCCTATTAAATGGATGGAATAGATGGATGAATTGAATCAGTAAAATTCAAAATAGTTTCATTTAATTTAACTTGATTAGAAAATGATAATCAAACGTATTAAATTGATTAAATCTAATTAACATATTACAATTTAAGAACAGTATAATAAGAGCAAATACTTAATTATCTAGGATAATTGTTACAATACCAGTTTGGTTCAATTAGACATAAACTAGAACAACCATCTCCATCAAATTGATTACCATCATCACATTTTTCATTATCAGTATAAATAGCATCTCCACATTTATTTGACACTTCTTAATCTTCTTCAACAGAGGTGTGAGTTTAATTATCAACTTCGCAATAATAATTTATAATTGTATATCCTTTGATGCACTCTAAACATGTTCCAAAAGTACAAGTTTAACATTATTCTCCACACTAAAATTAACAATTAAAACAACCATCATAAGGAAAATCATTACCATCTAAACATTCTTCTAATCCAATAACAATAGGTTCATCTCTACATATTGGTTTACATTAATAATTATATAATTCGTAGTACTATTCACAAATTTAATATGTATTTTATTTATACAAGTGTTGCAATATTAAATACATTGATATTTGCATTCAAAACATCCATCTCCACTATCATAATTTCCATCATCAAATTGTTCCATTGAAGATACTTAACCATCTCCACAATAGTGATAACAACTATAATCAATAAGCTTCCAACCATCAAAACACTAATAACATTTATTTTCCACACATTGTAAACATTCCAATTAGCAACTATATTAGCATTTATAACATCCATCAAACTATATATTGTTTAAATCATCCTAATTATATTACAATTCCATCATTAAAAATAGTAGTACATCTCAATTTATTATTTTCTAATTAATAATTTTCTTCACATTATAGACATTTATTAATAAAACTGATTTTACAATGTTGTATTGCTGGTATTATGCATTAATTATAAAAATATCCGAAAATCCAAAAATCTTATAGATTACATGTTTAACTACTGACTAAAGTATATTTAGAATTTTCATTATTAAATAGATTATGTTAGTAATGACCATTCTCAATCAAATTATTTATTCTATTATAACAATTTCTATTTTATTAATCTTCCTAATTCTCATAACCATCACAAATATATATTAACATCTACCATTTATTAATTCGTATTTTAATGAAAATTATATGCATTTACCAAATTAACATTCACTACAATCCAAAGGGCAAGAATACTTACATTATTAACATCCATCATATTGATATGTGTTACCATCATTGCATTCTTCAAAATAATTAATTATTGAATCACCACATATCGATATACAACTCATCATCAATTAATATTTCAAATTCATGATAATAATTTATAGATATTATTTTAAATTAAATACTAACAGCATCATGAGGTGTTAGATATATTGTTTTAGTTTAGGACAAAGAATAGAAATAATAAATTTAAAAATCTAGAATAATTTGTTACAATACCTCCAGCATTCACCAAACCATCGTAGAATCCCCAATCCCCAGATTAACATCTATCATTAATCTAAAAATTGAATTATCTAGTCGTAAAAGATTCTATATATAATATTTAATTGTAACATCCATTCTAGTTACAAGAATGGCAACCTATTGGGCATTTTTCTATGAATAATTAAATATCTGAAATTCTCCAAATTCCTTCACCTATTATTAATATTTAAAAAGTTGGGCTATAATGATAAGCATATATATCCAGTTGAAAAGTTCCATCATTATAGGATGAGCTTCAACAAAGATCATTTAAACTTGAACTATGATAATATTTTTAATTATGGTTTTCAATATTATCTATATAAACTTTAAATCGATCTCCATTCCAAAAGTCTATTCTATAAATATCTCTAAATATTAAACCTCCAAAACTAAAATCTAAATCTTAATTAATAATGTGGTTGGAGCTCAAATGTTTTTTGAATGAAAGTTTCAGAGTCAAAACAATCATAAACTTCAAAAATCCATTTTGATTGGAAATATGATTCCCATTAGTTTATATAATAGTTAATATACCAATCTAAAAGTTAAATCTAAAATTTACCATTAGTAGTAGCTACTAATATAATGTTAGTATATACGCATTTCAGACTAGCACTTTATTATAAAATGCATTAACAATAGGGAGTTTAACATGTTCATCAGATATTATGAAATTATGTACAAATTAAATAATACATATATGTATTTTATTTTAGGAATATATATTAAAGGGAAATAACAAAGTTCATCAAAATTATTAATAGCAGCTCTTAAAATGGAGTTTGGTATACCCAAGATTAAGAATTGCTTAATTCAAATTTATTTCAAGGACTTCTAATTATTCTATAGATCAATTTAAAAAAACCATGAATTAGTTTTACAAGAAATTCATAAACTTTAATATCAATTTTATTTAATAAAGATTTGAAGTTATAATATAGTTTTTGTAGAATTCATTTTATAAATTCTTATATTTTTATAGTATGATAATTATAATAAAAACATTGTTTAATAAAAATTATCACAAAATTTATCATTAATAAATAATTGATTTAATATTTATAATGTTACCCTGTTTAATTAAAATTAATTATAATTTTTCATATTTTCTAATCACTAGAGCTAATGAGTTAACTAATTACTTGATTATTGTGACGGTATTGCTTGGATAATAGATTTCATCAGTTCTTTCTCTATTTAATTTCCATATTTATCTTTAGATTTATTGCTCATTATAGATTTGTTAAGTGTTAATAAAAAATATTTTATAGTTTAATAGTGGTATTCATTGATCAATAAATGACATTAAATAAAAAATTAATTTTAGATTTAATAAATTTTTAAATAATATAGATGTTAAATAATTTACAGTTTAATCAAAAATAAAGAATCTAAAAATACTAGAATTTTGTTGAATATTATCAAAAAATTGAAATAGAGTATGGATAATAATCCATTAGATATAAAATCAAGAAAATATTCA